CTTCCCACTCCTGATTCTGTCAGGATTTTTCCATGTTGATCCCTGTTTTTTCCCTTGGAAAACTSCCAGCCTGGTTTGTGTCTGTGCTGGGTTGAGGTTTCCTCCTCCCCATGAGTGTTTCTCATCCCCCTCATCTCTCTGGGGTGGAAATTGTGTACCAGTGGCAGAAGCACCTGGGATTTTGAATTTAGAATGGATTGAGGTATCTGAGCTTGCAGATTTTTGGTGTTTCAAAAAAAAAATTAAAACTTTTTTAAAAAAACAAACAAACAAAAAAAAAAACAACCAACATGACAATTTGTCAAAAATCTTCCCATTTGCTCCTCTGGATGATGTAAAGATCTGGACAGGTGCTCAGGCCCTCCCCAGTGTGTTTCTGGTGTGGAGACTTTCCTGAGCCTGCTCCTGGTGTGGGATTGACCCATGAAAAAYCCAGGAATTTTTTCTGCACCTCTCTGCAGGTGCCTGCACACATGAGCCTGCTTGTATTTKGAAGGCAGTCCTTTTTTATGATTATTTATTAAATAATTAACATCAGAAAGGCAGTTCCTAATAAAATCCACCTAGCTATGTATGAGCCTTTATGACTTGAGGCAGTCGCCGTCCTGAGCATTTATTTTCCTCTAAGTGGCAATTTATATGAAACATGCATTAAAAAAATATTCCTGGACTATTTAAAATGAGAGGGGAGTAACAGCTTCCAGTGGAGCAGGAGCTCTGGTTAATTATTTATARTTTAGAAAAGCACATTTTCCAAGCCCGACATGGAAGTGAGAGGCCACTAAGTAAATAAAYTTACATAAAATGCAGCRAAATCAAATCATTTGACCCAGYAATTCACCTGATTTTAAAAATAGGTTTTCTGGAGAAAAAATAAATATTGTCAAGGAAAGTGGCAGCAGTGGGACATGGAAGTGGCAGTGAGGAGTGAAGTGGGAAAAGCTCTGGAATATTGACCTTGAGGAGCACTGGGAGATGGAAGAACCTCCTGGAAGCTGCTAAATCCACTTTTCATTGTTCCTCTATCAGGATGGGGATGAGTTGAGGAGGAAATTGCTGRAAATATTTCCTTTGTTTCCCTTCCCACAACCATCACTTGTTGCGAATTTTTAGTTTATTGTTTCCTGAAAAATATTTACTGAAACCCAAAAATTACTCACTTTTTTTTTTTTTTTTAATTACATTTTTTATGACTCCGAGCTGCAGTTTATTTCCTGTCCCAAGGCCTCATAGCTGCCAGGTTTTATTCATTTTTCTGGTTTTTTTTCCTGGRTGTTGTTCTCCTCTGGTGGGCTCAGCCACTCTTCTGCCCAGATTTTCGTTCTCCCAGGGCAAGAGAATCTCCCTGGCTTTGCCTGAATCCAACTTTTCTGAACTTCCCAGTTCCTGGGCTTCCAGCATGGCAGAATTGTGAAAAAGAGGGAGAATTCAGCTGTTGTGCTTTCTGATTGGTTTAATATGGGAAAAATGTAAGTCCAGACCCTACGGAATACAGGCCATCAGGTTTAGTCTGATTTATTAAGAATTTTTCWTTGCAGATCACAGTTTTTTCAAAGAAATAGTTGCTAAACCTCTTCCTTTTGATTACGTAAAGCCATGGTCTATAAATTCATGGGGAAACAGAAGAAGAATGTGAAAATTCTTTAAATATTCAGGATTGTGACTCTCGCATTGACCCTGCCTTTCAAAACTGAGTATATTTCTATCTGAAAGGCCCATATTTGGACTAATTTCATCAAACCCCACAAAAATACCCATTTCTCAGTCCTGTTATATCCAAGTTTAAATTTGTCCAAATCTCTCCTCATCAAATATTAATTTTTTTTCCTCAAGTCTGCCACTGGAGTTTCCAGTTCCATCAGGCACCTCTCAGCTCCCAGTGCACCTGGAGCTTCCTGCCAGCCTGACATGTCAGAGCTGAGTCCATTTCTCCTTTTAATCAAGATAATAACTGCTAAGAAGGGATGGATTCTGCTGCTGTGGAAAATGCAGRCGAGTTCCTGCCATAATTATCAAGTCTTTAGCTGGTAATTGCACACTGTTCCCATCAATCTGCTGTCAAATTTATTTCTGTAATTGACCTCCCGGTCCAGGAATTAGAGACAGCCTTTGATTATTGGTTCAATTAGTCTTAAAGCATCATGGGTTTTTCTTTCTTCTTTTTTTTTTTTTTTTTTTTTGAGGTTTTTTTTTTGAGGAATTTTAGTTCTCCAGCCAGTCAAAGGAAGGTTAAAGGATGCCACAAAATATTTCTTACCTTTATCACAATTAGTACCTGCTGTGTCTCGTTTTATTCCGTCTGTACAAACATATTGAGAAAGCTTTTGATGAGAAAGGATTGAATTTGTGGTTTTTCTTCATTTTATCCTTCAGGGACACCTTTTTGGGGACAAAGGAATGTTTTTTCTGGGATGGTGGTGTTGTTGCCATATACTCAGTGCTCCCCATCTGAGCTGTTCCCTTTGGAGCTGGATCCTTCCAGGGAAAAAATGCAAATCAAGRATTTGGATACAGGTTCTAGAGGATATATTTTCTAGCACTGTTGTGATTTTTCTTCATTTTA